GGGAATTTTTTCCTCGTATGATAGTGTTGACAATTAACGGAAGAGCTTTACTAAGAAAGTGGATGATCTTGAGAAAAAACTTGCAGCTTGGCGTTGGCGTAAACTTTCTCTGCTTGGGCGGTGCTTGATTCCAAACACCCTAGGATTGTCTCAAATTCTTTATTTGGCCTCCATGGATGACACTCCAGACAAATACGCATCTCTAATCCAATCGCTACCTTTCCAGTTCTTATGGAAAAACAAACAAGATAAAATCAAGAGACAAGTTTTATATCGATCAGGACTATGGCGATGGTGATTGGCGGTTCACTAATGTTTACATTATGTTTAAGTCCCTGCACTTAGTGTGGATCTAGCGTCTCTTCAAGACTGATGACAAAGAAAATAACATTTGGTCAGCAATTCCAAAAGTTTATTTTATAAAATGTGGGGGTCTTTTATTTTCTCTTACGCTTCAACTATGATAAGAAATTTCTAAAGGATTCAGACATACCATCCTCCTACAAGGATATATTGTTTTCTTTCCTGGACCTAAAAAGTTCTTATAACTCTGAGGATGAAAAAGACATGATTCTCTTTGAAAACAAAGAGGTCCTCATTGATGGGAGGATCTTTTTTACCATGATTGCATTGAAAAGGGTGTCTTCACGCTGCATGATGTAATTGACGGCCATGGCTGTTTTTTGAGGAGCCAAGGGGCGTGCTGAGCCTAATGTTAACAGTATATCCGGCGGTAGCCTTATTTCAATTATCTTCAGTCTTAACCATCGACTTCTTGAAACCTAGGTCTGAAGACTATTATTGGCTTTTTCGCGATAAACGGAAGTATCAGGCCACTGGTCCAATGAAATGGGACCGCAACTTTGCTCCGACGGCTTTCTCATGGAACCAAATCTTTAATAGAGTGAAGGCTATTTGTAAAGAGAATCAACTGAGAGAATTTTACTTTAAGCTTATCCATCGCATTGTCGCTACGAAGAAAGAGCTTACTCTCTATGGAATTGCAGGCAATAATAGATGTTCCTACTGTGGTGAGCCTGACTCAGTTCTTCATACATTTCAAAACTGCAGTACCACAACTTCTTTTCACAATCGCCTGTTGAACTGGTTCAACGAGATGAATAACACCTCAATATCCCCGGCAAACTACGAATTATTGTTTGGTATGGCGCGTGGGTAGAATAATAACAATGTTGGGAAATTGAATCTCTGTTTATTATATGCTAACTATTATCTACATTATCACAAGGTAAACGAGAGGATTCTTGACTGGATTAAATTTACTACAAAAGAAGTTAAGAATAGAAAATCAAGTTTCTGGTATTCTTTTATGATGCTTCTTCGCATTTTCTGTTGTGCTAATGCTTTTAAAAGGGATTTGATTGATAAAAGGATATGTCATTTCAAAGAAAAGGGTGATATATTGCTAGAACAATTGTTAGATTAATTAAAGGATATGCAATTTAAAAAATACATGTATTGCTGTTACGAATGTAAAGTTCCTTTAAATAATTGTTAAAAGTAATTAGGGTAAAGAAGCTGTCTTGTACTGCAAGTCGTGTTAATAGTTCTGTTGTATTGTAAGTAGTGTATGTTGCTTTTATATTGTTGTTTTAGCGTAAATTATCAGCAAAAGTATTGTAAAGTGTAAACATAATAAAATAAATTTAAAAAAAACTCAAAGTATATTAATTTTGTCCTTGGATTGCGATGGCTTTCTTTCAAGTCTAACGTTAGAATTACAAAAAGATAATAATACTGACAATTATTCCAGGGTGCTGTCAATCAATGTACTCTTCTTCTGTATAAGAGTGGCTGGTTACAATATTAGCAATTACTTCCTTAACATAGAGGAGAGACGTCGAAATGTCTGCGTTTTGCTGGATCCGGCCTTTGTATAGTTTAACAATATAGTTACATAAAGAGTGAAAAAGTTGTAAATAGTAAACAGAGGGTAAGATAATATATATAAATGTACTCGTTACAAGATAAAAATAGTCAAGAAACGGTAGGTAACAACTGACAATCTTGGATAAAAGATAAACCACCCCTCCCCCCTAATCACGGATGAACAGGCCCTAAACCCAAAGCGCACCATTTTTCCTATCAATAAAATGGGGGCGAGGGGTTGTCTTAATTTTTAATTTAAATTATCCAAGACTGTAGGTGTTAAAGTAGTTAAATTAGCAATGGTCGCTCCCAGTAGAAACCATGCCTTATCGCATTTTCAAACAGCGAGAAGAGAGGTGAAAATGTGATGCGGAGCGGAGTGTTGCCGAAGATCTTCATACATCTTCATACACGTTCTCGCTGGCAAATTGACGTANATGCTTTCAGCAGTGCGTTTTCACTTGACATAAGCATAAGCATAAGTTCTCTTAAGTTTGTTGCGTTTCCATTTGACAATCAGAATATGAGCTCAAGATTTCTCTCACGTGCTACACAACGAGGGCTCAGCCCAACTCAGCTATCACGGATACAAATCGAGAATGAATAATCTAATTGTTTGAGTGTAAATCTACAGGTTGTTAAAAAACTTTATCTAAGTTCTTTTCACAGACACTTCGAAAACGTAAAGAAGCAGCCGCCATTTTGTTAACCACAGGCTGCAAGAGTACTCGCACTCTTCAATAGAATAGATATTAAGTAGCGTAGTCAATACGAGAACAGCATTAGGGATAGAATACTTGTATATTTATAGAGAAACCGGGTACAAACAAAAAGATAATGTTTTCTATTTTGCCTTATTTCAATTCTCAAAATGTAAATTATCTTTGCTCGAGTCATTGTCATACGTTAACAGCTCGTGCTAGCTCATTGCTTCTAGAGGGTAATAAAAGTATTTCTTTCACCGCGCGTTTTCATACAAGAGGTTTTTTGAACAACATATATCAACTCCAGCATTATTTAACCTCCCCTTTAGAGCCGAGAATATATTTTCCTCTAGCATCACTTACCTGGCCCTTAACAGAGTGAGTTTCGGGATTGCTCTTTGCTTCTTGTAATTTAAGTCGATCTCCAACGCACCTGGCTCGTAAATCTAGTAATGTCTTGTTAGTTTTGTCAATCTGCTTAGGGTTAAGGCACATGACATAATTAAAATATAACGGTTCAAGGGACTGAATATTCCCAAACTTGGGGAATATCAGAGTGATGTTCCCCAATTTTCAAAACTGGGCGTGTTACGAAAAAAGTTTGAAGGATAATAAACACAATAGCCCGCATTTGGCGCGACAATATGCTCGGATATTTGTCAACGGACTTTATATTTAGCTTCTCTGAACAGATAATGTCCGTGGACAAATATCCGAGCATATTTTTGCACCCAATGGAGACTGTTGTTATATATACTTAGAAATTCGTTTAATTACTTACATTTCTATTTCTATTATTTTCTCCAAGAGGTCACGGTGACGAATCCTGCTGTCTACCTCGGTCCGAATTTTCCTATCTTTGACTACGGACTCGGTAACGTTTTCATATCGGGTGATATCGTCGTGTTGATCAATTTTCGTGAGTGAACTAACTGTAATCGTCAACCTTTGCCCTTTTTACACTTCCATCGACGATTAATCAACACAAGGTTATCTCTATTGACTCTAAAAGTGGCAAGGAAGGTCACCGTAAGTAAATTCAAACAAGTGCTTTGTTTGTGACAGTTGTTTTGTTCTTTGTGGCTCGGTACTGTAATGGCGCGTCATCTTGTGTTTTTCTTGACCTACCATTTTCACTAAAAACGAGTCAATTTTAGTCGAGGCTACCTCTCTGATCGTTGGTGTATTTGAGAGAGTTTCTGTTGTATACACTTAATGAATTTCCTCGCTTTCTACTATTTAATTTACGGTGTAAAAGCCTGATTTCAAGTGATTCGCCACGACTGACAGAAATGGTTTTTGTACGACGACTTCAAACTTTGCACAACATTTCAGCATTTTCAAGACCTCGCTCACCTCCATATCCTCGTGTCCACGTGACCAACGTCACATGGAGAAGAGGATATGGAGTGACTTCGGTGCAGTCCTGTGAAAGGCATTCGTGTGTAACCATTCTGTGCGTTCCTAAAGTAAGATTCCTGTGAAGGGCGGTAGATAGATAGGTAGATAGATAATGTTCAGGCAACTTAAGGGATTAATACATTTTGGCTACGAAAGACAGGTATAAAACCGACGAAGAATTGACGACGTTTGGTGCTATTGATTTTGGAAATATGAGTTTCAACCACGCTGTACAGATTCAAGACATTTAATTTATTTATTTTTCCGCGGGGACTGGGATGAAGACCGTGGAGACTACTCAAACATTTGTAGCTATTTATGACAGGCCATTTTTAGCTTTTTATTTCGTTAGTATCGGAGCCCTCGCTTCACGCAACTAGCATGCGCTTAAATCAAATTTGACAACAAAAAAACAGGCTGAAAATGTTGAAGTGACGGATTTCAGTCACGCAAAATAATCTAAAGATGATAATGAGTGGATTGAAAAACTAACTGCTAAGGCACATTTTCTGCGAATAAGCAGACCGGTTTAACGCACAAAAATTAATTGTTAGGCCTGTGATCAATATCTCAGGCCAGATTGAATTGTATTCGTAATGCTTCCGGAAGTGTAACGTTTGCATATCAGTTACTTTTCATTTCAGACTTAGCATGGGAGTAGCCTGTGTACATTCGGATGTACACAGTCTAAACTTTAAAGCAATTCGCGAATTACCTAAAACTTATTCTCGCTGACTGGTTTTTGATTCCTCTAATATCACAATCATTTTAATCCATGAAATATAGCAACAAACAACAGATTTAAGCTTAAATTGTCTTAAGTACAGAGCCGCGTAAACATTTCTGAAATGGAAGAAATGGAAAATCTAGGGATCGCAATGAGCCGATTTAAAACTATCGTGTAACGCATACTTTCCCAGAGTAAGCAACCAGGTATAAATAAGAAATATTAATTAATAATAAGGGTCGAATTAGCCTACGAACGCAGACATATTTCCGGCGGTCGGTTGTCACCGTCGAAAAATAACGTTTGCGAACCCGAGCCAGGAAACGATTTCTGTGACGTAGGAATTCTAAGCCAATCACAGTTTAGTTCAAATAGCCCCAGAACTACTGCGCGAGGTATTCGCTGCGAGGAGCACTCGTGGAATCCGATTGGCCAAAGAGAAAACAAAAGTCATTACGTCACATAAATCGTTTCCTGGCTCGGGTTCGCAGACGTTATTTTTTGGCGGAGACAAGCGACAGCCGCAAATACGTCTGCATTCGCAGGCTAGGGTCGAATCGGCCCTTGTCGAATTTTATTCGTAAAATTAACGGAGGTGAAAATGTATCCTGTCTAGTTGGTCTAGCGTTACGCTTGCATTACACTTGTTTGGTTTGGCAGTGGATTTCTTCACACAAGTGACACGAGACAGCCCAAGGCATAGGGCCTTTGATTCACTATAAGGACCTACCAGCCAGAAAACAACAAATATATCTTTACGAAACACTATGTATCTATTGCCATGTAATAAACTAAAAATTGGTAAGTAACGTGGGCGGGCAGAAATTAATGTCAACTAGCACACCTAACAGGCGAAGAATGCTGTACACGGCCTAGTTATCCAATGAGCGACTTATTTCGTGACTGTAAGAATCAAAGGCTATTGTTTTGTAGGGAATTTGAATGAGAATTTGGCACCTTGCAGTACAAAGGGATTTGACCTCACGTGAAAGTCAGTGTGAGAAAAAAAAAATCACCTAAAGTCATTTTGGTTAACCTTTAGGAAAATGGCGGCTCCCAGAAATAGTATGTAGATAAATAATATTGAAGAGAGCAACATTTCACTTTTGTTACAGTTACACAATTTAATCTCTAAGTTGTTTTGTGGGTTGCCAAGCAACTAAGCGTATAAAAAGTGGATTTCAAACTCTATATTCTTTCCTAAAACGATTCTTCCTTTAAGTCAGAAATGACTACTCGTTTCTCTCGACGAGAATTTCAATCAAGTGGTCCCTTTAAGTAACAACTCATACTCCCAAGACTGTACGATGGAGAAGGGGTTTGATAGAAGCCTCCTTACGTTTTTGCAATTACAATTTACTTTGAAAGCATTGTGACTTTTGTAAATAGCCTGAAGCTACCATAACCACAGCTATAAGGCTTCTTGACGCCCCATTATGCTTTGCGGGATTTTAGCGGCATATATATAAGGCAGAGAGAACACAACTTTTTGTAATTTATCCCTTAACAACTTTCGCTAGAATCCCTAAAGGTAACATGATCGTTCCTTTTTACAGCTGGCAAAAAACATGAATAATTGATGTTATAAAGGATACTGCCAATCCCTTCTCACACCAGGATATGGCGTCTCCACAACACTGTAGGTGCTCACAAGCACTTGCACCTACAATAGATAATTTAATATCAGGTCAAAAAGTACTATCTACAATGCACAGGTGAAAACATCCAAAACCTGATTTATTCTTGTAAAATGCCATATTCGTAATTTGGTATTGGACTCGAAATAGCTTGCAATGGAGGCTCATGCGAGGGAATATCGTTGAAAAGATATTAATGTCATTTGCATTTGAAGAGCTCGATACGATAGCTGTCGACTTAACAAATTGAAGCCCGTTTTTCATGCGTCTGTCCTGTTAGTGATCATGAATTTCGTCATAACATTGTCAAAATAGCTGTGAATCCACAAGGTGATAGCCTAGTGGATCCACAAACTAGCTACTTTGACAACGTAATGACGAAACTTATTGTCAATGACAGAACAGACGCATGAAAAACTGGCGTCAATTTGTCTTTTTTACAATGATAAATTGTCAAATTTTCCGCTCAGCCGCTTTTTCTCGTCGCGTCAACATCACATAAGTTATAAATTCAGGCGTTTGTTCGCTTATTGACAATGAAAATTAGCCAACGAGCGCGCGATAATTTCTTCAGTTATTGCAACATTCATGTTATAAATCAGTTGAGTCAAGGATTTTACCTGTTTTTATGGCCTTAATCGAAGTTGGTTCCAAATTGACGGCGGCCGTTGCATCATTCAGGGCCTCGTAAAAATTCCCTGAGTAATAGAATTGAAAAAAACATTTCATGCCTAGTAGAGAAGAAGTAGCGAAAACGTAAAAGCGATGAGAGCTCACGAGGTTGTAGAGATATGCAATGTGCGTGTCTTCTTTCAATGCTTAGTCCCCTCTCAATTTAGTGGCACGCAACGAATCTGTTCCGATCCTTGAAATACGGATGACTCCCGATAACTCAAACCTCCAATGGCACGTTATGGGGAGTCATCGGGTGATGACAACAAACGACCGGGCAGTAGGGAATAAAACTGTTGCGTTTAATCGGGTTTAATACTGAGAAAGAGTAAAACTTGAACGATTCTTCGCCAGTACAGCAGAGTAATATAGATCTGAAGGGAATAAAACAAGGCAAGCTAAACAGCAGACCAATAAGGATTAACATTGCTTGAAGCAAACTGAATTGCAACCTTTGTCAAAGGTCATCTTAGGTCGATAGTGGGGACATCCCAAATACGATTAACACATTCATTATGCAGCATCATCACTAAGCATCTCTCTTGGCTCACCGCTGAATTTTCTCATTCTGATCGCTAGAACTGATCATTTCTAGTCCCAGGGAGGGGTGGGGGCACTGTCTGGTGGCGTTGGCCAAAACTGACCACACAATATGATCTTAAGCGGACACTATCAGACTGTGGTATACCCATGGTGAACATCAGTCTATAGTGCCCGTTCAGTGAAGTGGCTCATGAAATGCACCTTCTTATATCATTTTTTTAGATGAGGTTAAAGAGTTTATACGCTTCTGTGCAGATTTCTGTATGAAAATAGCACGAATAAGTAGTTTTTCAGGCTGAAAACGGCGATGAACTACGATACAGTAAAACAATAATCGAGCGTAAAGAGGTTTGAGATTGTAAAGGGAAGACACCTCTTTTAATATAACCGGACTTTGTCACGTTTTTGCAGTTCGATATTTGGCATGCAGAATTGCATTTAGTTTACACATACAAGTTTAATTTTCCAAAGAAGTAGAAACTCTGCATGAAAAAAACAAAGCGGAAATTCAGAAAATACCAGAAAATTTGCCGGTGAACGTGAAAGACAATTGAGTATTTATTTCTATTTAAATAATAGTGTTTCTGTCGAGGAACTATCGGCTGATAGTTGCCCCGCGGAAATTTGATGTTCTTAAAAAGATATTTCCCCGAGAAGCGAAGCTTCGAGGGCAAATATGCTAGTTTTAAGAACATCATCAAATTTCCAAGGGGTAACTATCAGACCGATAGTTCCGAGACATAAACACTCTATTGTCCTCATTGTTCACCACTAAATTTTCTTCCGCACAGCAGTTCAAAAATCATATTGAATTATTTTTAACTTTTTTTGGATGAAAGCCAAACATAAACTTTGAAAAAAAAACCAACAAAACCTCTTAATACAATTTCAACTGTTCATTTTCTCTTCTATAAGCCTGCTTGTTTACACAAATATTTTCACGGACGAGTACTAGCTATCCGTTTACTTTCCCAAAACGGGCACTATGGGCTGATAGTGTCTTTCCGCTGATGAACACCATCGCGTCACGTGATCAATTTAAACCAATAAGAATCGAAGAAAATTTGGTAGTGAACTATAAGAATTGATAGTTTTCCCCAAGTTAGTTTCCCAATATAGTCTGTTCAAATGATAGTTTCTATTATAATCATTAAAAGGCTGAACGCAAAGAAAGCAACAACTTCTTTTGATTGGTGGATAAATTTGAAAATGACAAGATCAAAATCTTACCGAGATGGTAATAAGCTGTTGCCCTGTTGCTGTACAGCTTAGCATTCAGCTGGAAATCATTACAGTTCACATGAATTCCTTCTGTATAGAAGTATATCGCGTAACAAACTTCTTTTCTTGTGAATTCTTTGTCACCTTCTTCCCGATAGACTTCTGCTATCGCTGAAAAAACAAAACAGATTTGATTAGTAACTTATTTTTATACGGCTTAGCATTGTTCAATTTGTTTCCCTCAGATTGTCGATTTTCTTGCAGAGTGAGAAAGGCCTTCTGCGACACTCAAGCGCAAGTAGTTAGGTGAACGTGAAGTGAACACAGCTATGCGCCGCTAACATGATCTATTACTACATTTTGTATCCCAGCCTAAATTAACCCTAAAAAAACCTCTGAATAAAATGACATTTAAATCTTTTTTAGTTCTTTTCTGTGAAACGGTCTGTGAGTTGTCACTTTATTGCAGTAGTTACCATTTTAAGTAAATATAATTCTGTAAGTGTTTTATCAAAAAACTCTTTAAGGCTTGTTTACACAAGCGCATATGAATAAGCATAAGCCGACACACGCAGACGCAGTAAGATGTTGATAATTAGCGACTTTTGTTTGGGAAAAGGCGCTAATTATCATGATCTTGCTGCATCTGCGTATGTCAGCTTATGCTTATGGCATTGCGCTAGTGTAAACCAGCCCTTAGTCCACCTCAGTCTTGATACTCTACTACGTAGTGGAAGATAAAAGTGGTCAACGTGAACAGTTGATTGTATCTCGGAGAAGCTTTACATACAAACCAAGCGGTTAATGATTTACTCTTTTTTATATAACGAAAAACAAGATATCAAATCACTGATTAACGACTTAATGTGGCCAGCTTTTAGGTTGAATTAGGATACAGATTAAGTGGTACTAGGATCAAATTTTTACCCCTTGAATTATTAAGTTAATCATAGAATTCCACGAAAGATTAAAAACCCAGTTTACCATATGCAGATATCTACATTGGTTCCGGTGATATTTAAATTTGAAAATGTGTTAACTATGCAAATGAAAGGACTTATGACGTCATACACTCAACCAAATATTCAATCAAGTATAAAAGTAGAGCTATCTCGGTCAATTTGCAGCAAAAACCATTGAAACTTGGTAGGCTATTAGGTCTACATGCAACACACCTCCGACTGTAATAATTTCCGTTTCCATGGCAACCCACTCTTTTCCAGTCCCCTCCAACCTGATTTCAATATTTTAGTGATTTTAAGTTCTAAA